ATATGATTTGTTTACTAGGCCCTTCACCAGCTTCATTGCCCTCCTCTGCACTCGCTCCAGCACATCGGTATCTCTCTTGTATTGAGGTGCCCAAAACTGGACACAATACTCGAGGTGACCAGTGCTGAGTACAGGGGCACAATCACCTCCCTACTTCTGCTGGCCACGCTATTTTTAATACAAGCCAGGATGCCATTGGCTTTCTTGGCCACCTGGGCACACTGCCGGCTCATATTCAGCCACTTGTCAATTACGAAGTTCCTTATTCTTTAAACCGTTCAGTATGCTCAGAGCTATCAGCGCTCCAACAGGGCTTTCCTGACTGCAGTCACTTCAGTGTTAAATGTTCTTTAAATAATAAATAACATAACTGGGTTTATTTCATTACGTTTTCTTGTCTCATATTTTGGTCCCTTTTCTATCTCAGCCCATGTCCTTCTCATTGGAGGATGGAAATGTCATCATCCTTTTCTGTGGATGCTGGCTCTTCTCCTGTTGCGTTGATTTTCATTTTACTTATTCACATTGTGAATGGGTCAACATTTCACTGTATTCTCAAAGAAATTTTTGTGTGTATGCATGTGGTGTAGATTCCCATAGGTATAGGGTCTGACATCAATAAAATAACTTGGTTAACATCCTCTGTGATCCAGGTTCTGCAAAGATTTATGCTAAGTGGAACTGTGTGTGTGCAAAATGCTAAGCCTGTAACTAAGCCTTGCAGGATTTCGCTTCAGATCTGGTTATAAATATTTGCAGAACTGAGTCTTGAATTTGCCAGATACTACCTTTGAAGAAAAAATGTAATGTGATTACTTCTCAAACACCTAAACATAAGTGCTTTTACAAGTTTATGAAAACATATTGCTGAAAAATCTGGGGTCACTAAAAGTTTACATGTGTTTACTGTCCTATGAAATGTTCTGGGCAAAAAAAAAGGGTGTTGGGATTTTTCCAGTATTTAAAGTGTAGTTCATGTTTTACTTTATTACCCCCAAATAATGAAATAAGCCTTCCAGTCCTTCCTGTAGTTCCTTCTAGAACAAAAGTGGTGCCATAGAGATACCAGTAAAATGTAAGGTAATCATTAACAGAAGAGTAAATTGGTTTTTATCCTATAGTCTAGAAGGGGGGGGTTGTGCTCTTCTGCTTGAAAATGCCTATGATTATCTCCTTTGAGAGTACTTAAAAGCTATGTGAAATTTCAAGTCTTCTAGATAGGCACTGTAGATGTCACACTGTTGATGCAATTGTAAATGCAAATTTAAGAGGAATATTAACTTTTAATTTCATACTAACAGATCTATAATATGGGTACTGTGTTGTCTAAGATGTTTCATAGTGTTTTGGAATGTAACTCACAGTGTTTGGTTTTACTTTTAAACAACTTCGGGAAAGGTTTTGTGTGCCTTTTATGCTATCAGCATGGAGCTAAGCAAAAAAAAAAAATTGTCCAAGGAGTTAATTCTCATTAACCCTTTCAATACCAGATGTGTTTCTACCATACGTTGTATTTGATGTCTGTGTGCCATGATGATTTAATAGAAATACATTGTGTGGTATGAGAGTCCTGATTGCATGAATTTCTTGTGTATATATACTAATGTATAAAACACTTGAATTATCTAAACATATAATTACAATAAGTTGTTAACATGTTAGAGCTCGTTGTTGCAACTGTTACAATTTTATTGGTAATCTTAATTTTGCAGCTTAAATAGGCACCTGATATAGCTTAAAACTGCGGGAAACTATCATTCTAATGACCTGGGTTATTAAATATGTAATCCATTTTTTATTCCATGCACCAATCCTCAAATGTTTGGAAAAGACTGTTTTCAAATACTTCGAGATGACTTATTTTCTTACTTTGAAAAAAACCTGTTCTTATTGCAGCTGGTTTTAGAAGAAGCTTTCGTCTTAGCAGGAAAGATAAAAAAACAAACAAATCTATGTATGAATGCAAGAAGAGCGATCAGTATGATACAGCAGATATCCCAACATATGAAGAAGTTGCAAAATATAGACGACAACCTAATGAAAAATACAGGCTTGTAGTTTTGGTTGGTAAGTTGTTTTCTTTATTTTTGACTGGGTAAAACAGAGGACTGCTGATTAGCGCAATGCTTACCACAAAATCATTTAGATTGGAAGGGATCTCAGGAGGTCACCTGGTCCAGCCTTCCACTCAGCAGGATTAATGCTGAATTCAGAGCAGGTTGCTGATGACAACTTTGGGAACTTGTCTTCCCACCATGTCTTCTCTTGTCTTCCCACCACACACTTCAGCAAAGAGGTAGCCTCCATCTTCTCAATGGGTATCAGAAGGGTGCTGGTGGGTCCTCCTGAAGCCATGTCTTCTCTGAGCTAGACAAGCCCAGTTCCCTCAGTCCCTCCTTGCAGGTCATGTGCTTCAGCTCCCAGCCATCTTGGAGGCCCTCTGCTGGCTTTGCTCCAGTTTATCAACATCTGTCTTGTAGTGCAGGGCCTGTTGTGGACAGAGTATTGCTCACAGGGTCTAACACGTGCTGAGCAAATGGGAAGAATCATTTCTCCCTGCCTACAGGCTAGGCTCTTGCTGATAGAGCCCAGTCTTCTGTTAGCCTTCATTGCTGCCAGCATGCACTGTGGACTCATGCTTGCTGCCCACCTAGACCCCCAGGTCCTTTTCATCCAGGCTGCTCTCCAGCCAGTCAGCCTCTAGCTGGTACTGCTCTGGGGCTTACTGTCTCCCAGATGCAGGACTTTATTTGTCCTCATCAAATTTCACAATGTTCTGCCAGGCCATGCCCGTAGCATATCAAGGTCCCTCTGAATGGAAACCCTGCCTTTGAGCAGGTCACTTGCATCACCCACTTTGGCATCTGCAAATTTGATGAGGGCCTATTCTGTGTCCTCCTCTAGGTTATTGATACAGATATTAAACAGAGTATGTTCCTCAGGGTAGATCCCTGAGGAACTCCGCTTGTAATGAGTCGCCCAGTAGAGTACAGACCAATACCCCCTACCCTTTAAAAATGATCACCCATCCAGTTTTTCCCCTATCTAGCAGTCCACCCATCTAGACAGGATATCCCAACTTCCGTATAAGGATGCTCTAGGAGACCATGTCTAATGCCTTGCTACAATAAAAGGAGATAACATTAAAATGTAGCTACCATGGTTACTAGTCTGCACCTGGCATTCAAGCTGTACTAAAACTCAAAAGAATTACGTTGGTGTTCTGCTCTTAGAGATAAATCAATACATCTCTGTGGAAAAAAAAAGAAGAAAAAAGACCAGAATAAATACCTGTGGTCAGCCAAGACAGTGGAAAGAAGCAAAGCCATCTACTGTGTTAGAATAAGTAAACAAGCAATAGAGAGAAAGGTGGACTTCTGCAGGCCAAGAGCAGATGTAAACATAGCTGCAGAAGACTCAAGATGTCATCCTTAGTCAGTTTTCTGTTCTTCTATACTTTGTCACTGCCATGGGTTACCCACAGCATTTATTTTCTAACAAAAATGCATCTCTTCAGTCTCCTAAAAAAAGAGAAAGTACGTGATCTTAAATTTTTCAAAGGTGACTATTGGAGTACCAATGAGTCACGAGTAATCATTACTACCAATGAGTAATGTCTCATTGCTTATTGTTTCTTTTGCAGTAGCACATAGGTTGATGCTTTATTAGTAAAGTTTCCTCCATTCTGAAAGCAGTAGAGCAGAGAAATACGACCCTCTATCAGGGACTGTTATGAACTGTTGAGTAGCTGTGTTTTTATATCGCTCATATCCAAGGGAACATTAAATTTAGTTTTTAATAAACAGTTTTGTCACTCTCGAGCACTAAAATTCAGCCACCTACTAGTGTGATCGCTGTGAGATTGTGGGCTATATACAACAAGTAATAACATGGTTGAGTTGATTTTACACTTACATCAACAGAGTGCAGTGCAAAAGTGTGATAAGTAGACTTTTAATAGCAAATTGCATATGCCTGATCTAAGGAATACCTAGAGATTTCGTTTGATTTTTGTTGTAATAAATCAAATGAAGAAAGTGTGCTTTTGCAGTAACAAAAGCAGTTCAGAAATTTATTGCAGACTTCAGTAATTCTAATGTTTTTCTCTGGATATTAAGAGCAGCTTAAGTCTGGCCAATACCATAAAAATGTCTTGGGCAAAATGTGGAAAAACTAGCAGAGCTAAGCAACGCAGGTATAGTAGAAGTGAACACATTTAAAAAGCTTTTTGTGTGCCAGTAGCAGCATTCAATATAATACGTCAAATATAATTTGGATATTAGTACCAGGAAACAAAGGCACAGGTAATTAATTTATAGCTGTAATTGGTGGGGGCACTAAATGTCTGTTGTGTTTTGCTAGGCCTGCGTGTCTAATTTGCTGTTGGAAGGGGGGTTTTAGGGTTTGTTTTGCCCTTTTTTAGGGGGAGGGAGTTTGACAACTTTGAAGTGGAAATTTCTTTTGGCTTCTTTTTAAATTGGTCTGGTCTAATTTACAGAATGCAAATTGCAGACACGGTAATTTTTAGCGCCCTGTAGTGTGATATATACCAGTCTGAGGCTCAGCTAGATGTATTAGTTTGTCAAGATTTTACCTTGTCTGCAAATGCAGGTTCATGAATATCCGTGGGGCTAAAGTAACAGGTCATCTGAAGCAGTAATGATACAGATGCTTCTGCTGTGCTTTTAGTTGTTATAAATGTGATGAGTCTGCTAAAACCAAAATTATTCAATATCATGTCACCAATCTTCTGGTAACTTACTGTTGCCGGGCTGCCAACAAACTCTTCAAGTCTTTCTTCAGAAATATTTCCTGCATCCTAAGCATGATACCTTGCAGCCCTATCAGGCAAAGGCAGAATATTTTAATACGAAATGTATTATTTAGACACTAGAATTTTCCTTTACATTAATGAGGTCTTGCTCACAAAGGCTTCTGCTTCAGTAACTGTGAGGGCCAGACTAGCACAAATTTCATTTCCTAAGAGACAGAATGGCTGTGCTGCATACCATATCTACACAGTGTAGTGTCAGCTCAGTCAGAGCTTTTGGAAGGGGCAGTGCTAGGATAAAGCGAGGTCAGCAGTAACAAACCATGAGCGTGTCCCCAGAATGCACGCGGTTATATGCATGCCGTGTTACCACCAGAGGCACACAAAGCCTTTCAGGTGCTGCGGTCACCCATGGTGATGCATCTGTCCTGAGTGGGCAGTGCTGGAAGCGAGGACCAGAGGTGTGTAACCACAAAGGAGCAGTTGTTACTGCTGTGGGAGACAATCAGAAAAGGCTCTCTGTCTCTGAATTAGACTGTCAGTACTCCCCACAATGGTGTCCTTCTGGTGACCACTGCAAAGAAAAGGAGTCTGGGACTGGAAAAGTTATGTATTTCTTACATTTGAAAAAAAAAGTAATCTGTCACCTCTGGTTTTATCATGAAGGAACGATGTGGAGGCCAGGTCTGTCTCAGAGCAGGGGAGGGTGAAATGGAAGTGGGTCCTAGCTTTCTACATCTCCTGACTTATCTTTAACATGTCTCCAGTAGTGGCTGGTAGAGATTTAATGGATTTACAGCGGTAGTTGGTAAATGGCTTACCATGGCCATACTACTTCAAGTAAACCACCTGGACAATGACAAAAGAGACCTAGAATTGTTACCTTCATTAAACCTTCCCCGTTGAAGGTACAGGTAGGTCAGCATGGCTCAGGAATGAATACATAGGATGCAGCACGTTGGCTAGCCTTGCCCATGAGAACAGCAGTATAGTCACTGATTCTGCTTCAGTGAACAGCAAATCTAGAAGTACCCTCCCACTGCTAGTTGTAATTTACTGTAACACAAAAAAAGTAAGGTTCTGCTTTCCTACCGCATATCTCATTGACCTACAGTTGGACACACAGGTGCAGTCATTGCATTATAGTGATCAGTTGTCCTAGAGAAGGAATAACTGAGCCACAGAACCTCTGTCAAGGCATGTTTTCTACAGGGTCTTTATGATCCCAGCAGGGATGTTGTCACCTAACTCCCAAAATCTTTTCTGAAAGACCACTTCCTTTTTTTTTTCCTTTCCTTTCAAGTAGGCTTCTAGGACGTCAGTATATATGAAGAATGGCTGGTTGGGTTGACTCCCCCCCGCCCAAGACCTGAACTTACATCAAACAGTCTTTCTTTTCTTCAGACATGTCTGAATGGTATAAAATGTAATGCAAGTTTTAATGATTGGTGGTTCAGTTGTGCAAGAGACCTTCAATACATTGAGGAAGGCAATACAGCCCATTTGTGCAGGATTTGACCATTATTTATCTTGCAACAGCAAGCAACATAAATGTTCCTTAAAAAAAATAAACCAATATCTCTAAATCTCTTGCCATAACTCTAAATATTGCTGCCTGGGGTGATTCATAGTAAACCAAAACTATGCTACAGTCATGGATCCCACATACCTGGCATTTTACTATAAGAATCTGGATTGTTCTTTTCAATCCTGATGCTTTATTCTCGTCTTAAGTTCAGGTCTTAAGTTCAAATCATGTTCAGATTCATAATTATTAGAAACTGGCATCTTTCTGTGTTGCATCAAAATGAAAGGGATATTCAGAATAGAAGTGTACATTGCACTCGGGAGATTTAGTGTAAAAATCAGCATAGTGGATGGCATTGCTAATTAAGAATCAGCCTTCAGCATCCATATGCTACAGTTGTGAGAACTCTGTGAAGATAGCACTGACCAAGAAGAACCTACACTTTCCACTAGTTAAATTTGAAGATTATTTTTAAATGGTAATCTGGAAGGGGAGATGGAGTAATAGTGAGGTTGTGGTCTGGAAACAGATTTGATTTAAGTTTCCAAAGCATTTGTTGCAGGAAGCGAAGCCTGGATTCTTTATATATAAATAGAGCTAAAAGCATATTGTTGATTTGACAGCATGTAGACAGAGGAAATAATATTTGTGTAGATTTGATGGGGAAAATCTTTTGCTTGAAAGGAAGATGATTTTTTTTTACTTGAATTCCGCTTGTTTCATTCTACTTTGCTAGGATATATTGAGAATTTTAATTACTTTTTCTATAAAAATCCATATTTACCTTAAATAGCTATACTATTGAAAAAGGAATTTTTTTTTTTTTTTTAAAATAAGAACAAAAGTAATGCCATTATCTACATGACACATTGCTTTTCTCTGCAGACATGCACCAGTAGAGGCTGCTGTACACCATATTAAATAAACATTTATACGTACTGATAGATTAATTTACAGGCAGGTCAGAGATGGAACTTGAAATGTAGTTGTGTGTTTAACTTATGTAAACACATAAAAATTATAAATGCAGAAACCCTAAGATTTTACAGAGAGACCATAGTCTGGGGATAGTAGCAATGTAGCAAACATTTGCTTTTCATCATTATGTGTTTCTAACTTCAGACAGGGCGGATAGTCGTTTTTACAAATAGGCACCTGAAGGTGCTGAATCAATCTTTGATTTTTGATAGCAGACTCTCACTAGTAATTACCCAACTTATCACTATTTCATTAAAATGTTTATTAGGTTTTGTGTTTCTCATGTCTAAAATGCCTCTGTTTAAAAGCACTTCATGCATTAATGTATCACTTTTATGAGAAGAGCAAGAATTTTCCGTAAACCCACATGTATGATCCATGTGTCACTCTGCTCTGCGTTTTGCTGTTGACCTGGTTCTGCAGAAATGACACCACTGCACCGTCAGAAACGCACGAGCACGCAGAGAGCTCAGGCTCCCTCCACACACACACCACACCATGGCCCCACCACCACAAGGGCCGGGCAGGCTGGAGCCCTGCGTGAAGGGCTCCTGGGGACAGGCAGCGATTGCCCATGGAGCCTTTGAGACCTCACAGGACAGAGCACCCTCACTGAGACCTCAAGCACCGCTGGCAAATGGCTGAGAGTTAGGGACAACCCAAAAAACAAGAGGAAGCTCAGTAGCTTCTAGGACAGTAGTGCTCAAATGGAGGTAGAGGAGAAGGGTCAAAAAAATTCTGTGCAGTCTTTGTTTCTTCCTGCCATCCTCTTTCCAAGAGTGGTCTCTCTTTGGCAGCCGCGTGAAGAAGGAAACATTTGCTTTGGAGCAGTTCAGACAGCAGGCAGGAGAGGAGCATAGATTAAAAGAAAATCAACAAGAAAGAAACCCAAACATCCCAAAGGGGTTGTGACCTGGGGAGGGCTGCCCGCCCTTCCTCTCCCCGTGCGATGTTGCCCTGGCCCAGTCAAAAGGTGGACGGTGACATGTCCAGCTGGCCAGAGCCCAGGCGGAATTCCTGCCTGCGGCGGGGGCACAGTGCTGCCAGGGCATGGGGAGAAGGTGGTGGGAGTCCTCCTCGGGGGAGGCTGGCACAGACAGGGGATCCAGCAGCTGGAGGGAGTAAGGAGAAGGCCGTGGTGACACATGGAGTGCAGAGGCTTTGGGGGGGACTTGGCGCGTGCCAGCTGGGGTCCTCTAGTCTGTGAGTTGGGGATATTCTGGCAAAATGAAGAGCCAAACCATTTTTTGTGCCGGAAAGCTGCAGGTTAGGGTGCGGGTAGGGCTGAGGATGGAGATGGGAGTGTACTGTGGGTAGTTGCCGTAGAAAAGAAATTTAGCTTTGCTGTCAACTCCTTCCCCGATTTTTCCTCAGTAGTAAAGTCGGAGCAGAGTACCTGCCAACCACATCCCCTGAAATTTGTCAGCGGTGTATATTCTAGGAGAGGCTATAACCATGGGCGTTTCCAAATGACTCCGATTAAAAGCCAATATATATTATAGCTATGTGCTACGTAGCCTTACCTCGGAGAGTACTTATACCTGAAGACGAGAGAGAACTGGCTTTTGGGAAACAGCAGCATGATTTTTTTCTTTCAGGTCCTGTAGGGGTCGGACTGAATGAACTTAAACGGAAATTGCTGATCAGTGACACCCAGCATTACGGGGTAACGGTGCCACGTAAGTAAAAATACACTTCTATTCTCCTAATGCTATACTTGCATTATTATCCTTTATTATTGCATTACCTTAAGGCACTTTCAAATTTGGGTCCCTAAATGCATGCTTGGCATCCAAATTACTTTTCTAATTTTTAAAAGTGCTGCTGCAGTTGTATTTTAAATAGCATTGATTAAACTGATAGGACGTTTTGGCTCAGAGGCAATGCAGTAGACTTTTAGTACAAGTTTAACATGATTGATGTCAGCGAGGTTTAGTAAATGAAACTCAGCTGAAGAACACCCTGGGTTTGGCTGTAAAGCAGTGAAACGGACTCTGTTACCAATGCTTGCTTTCAGCAAAATGGCCTTTCTATATTAGACAGGCTGAAAAACGAAGACTGATGATAAGCAGCTTAAGCCTGTGAATAAATGAATTAAATCCCTTTGATTAGCTTTAGAAAAGTTGATTTGGGGATTTTTTTACTCTTTCCTCCTATCTGCCGAGTTGTGTTACTTTGTATAATGTTGAATAACATTGTTCTATATTAACTTCTACAGTACTTTATTGGGGTTTTTTTACGGACTTGACAGTTTTAGTTAGACTTTCATTCCTTGTTTTGCTTTGTACTTGTACTTGTGCCTCCTGTAGGGATCCTTCAAAAGTATGGGTCCAGCATTCTGCATTTGGGGATATTGTCACAGTTTTTTTGCAAGTACATAAAGTAGATATGTGAATGAGTTTACTAGGTAGAAAAATGAATATATTTGGTTTTGGCAAGTCATTTCATTTGCACATATTTGCTTCAGCTGGGTATTGAAAACAACAACAAAATAAGCCAGATGTTCCCAAATATTTAACACACTGAAACATATGCAATCATTTGCCCAAAAATATTTCTCTAAAAATTGCCAGTATTCATCAAGCTGCCTTCTCTCTTTTCTCTTCCAAATTTGTGGTTATAATTTAAAACAAACACGTAAAGAAATCCCTCTCCCTGAAATTCAGTAAGTCAGGACTTGGAGGGAGAACTGGGGGTTCTCGTCTTGGACATGTTCCTTTTCAATGTCAACCTAAGAAGAGCGTGATACCAAATGGCATTCTGGACTGTGTTTCTGCAAGCAGGTCGCGTTCGTTCCTATGTGATGGAGAATGCACGATGCTGTAACATACAACTCGTATTAAATAGGACTTTTGAATGAGTTCACTATCCATAAGTGGCAACCCCACAAATAAGTTTCATTTCTAAGCAGAAGCTTTGTACTTAGTACTTGAAGGAACGTGAGAATTGCAAATACTACAGGGCTACTGAAAGAGAAAGGAATTTGTTTTTCATCACCAGAAGACGAAAAGCACTAAAACATAAAACTCACACCCCATTTTTTTATTATCATGCTTCACATACCATAGCTACAAGTGTTGTTAATGAACATAACATTTTATAAATCAGGTTGGTGAACTTTGTTTCCCTTTATGGTCTCGTATGCTAATAAGTTTAACAAGTGGCGAGGTTGGGGTAATTGTTATGGACTGCTGCTCCTTTTATTATTCAGCTGTCCTCATTTTATTGGATTTTTCCACTAGTTAATAAAAATGATAATCTGATACTTGTCCAGTAGGTTTTTTCCTGCTTTTCCTGCACACTTTTAAAACTCAATCCTGTCATGGGCCTGTGTGCCGCCTACCAGATCCAGAGCAGCCTCATGTCTGTCAGAAGTGAGGGAACCGCCACGCTTAGTATTGCACAAGCGTTGTGTGCTTCGCAGTGTTTCCTGAACTGGTTTGAATTATATTGTTTTGTGCATCTCTTCCTTTTCTTTTTTTTCTTTTTTTCCTTCATTTAATGATACTGCAGACACTACCCGACCAAGGAGAAGCCAAGAAAGTGACGGTGTCGAATACATTTTCATTTCCAAGCACTTGTTTGAGACAGATGTACAGAATAACAAGTATGTTGAAGAGATTTTAACTAGAACCGCGGTTAAAACAATGGCTTTGTTACAAAATGGGGCTGGTTGTAATTTTAGATAATAAGTCAAAGGGGTTATAAGTTGCAGTGATTTGAAGATGCGTTAAAATTACATTTTGATATATAAGCAGTTCAAAGCAGCTGGCAAAAACACAGAGGAAAAAAGCAGTATGTGCAAACACAACTGTTTCTGAGCTTCCAAGTGTTTCCAGTACTTCGGCTCATCAAAGAAGACACTGAAATTGTAGGTGTTCAGGATGAGGGAGCGCTCTTTTAATAGGGCATCATCTGTCATAGCAATAAGGCATTGCAGCTCTAGGAGGTGGGGCCCGGGAAGTTCTGCAAACGTGCCCGAGTCAATGTTTGTGTAGTTCTGCTCTCTTTCAGGCCAGGCACTTCCTCTGCTTTTGAATTTAGAGATCTACAGTGAAGCCCCTGCCTGTAAACCTGCCAGAAATTAAACGAAAATGGAGACAATGGTAGCATCGTGCTCTCTGGCAGCCTGTAAAATATCATGGCTTGAAATTCTGCCCCAGTGTTTCAGAGGGCAAAAGTGTATTAGACACAAAGCTGCGGGTTTTATTGAAACTTCAAACTGTGCCTTGCTTTTTTGGCAAATAGCGCTTGTACTTTTATAGCACATAACCAGCCGCCTTGGTTCCATTAGCACCATCGTCGCTCCTCCTCCTCTTCTGAGACAGAGAATTTGGATATTCTGTAGTGTGCAATGAAATTTCAGTAGTTTCTATTGTTTAGCTTATCCACTGTTTTATTGCATTGCATTAGTGCAGAAAAAGAGGTGATGGAAAACATTAGTGGGCTGTTGGACTACAGTACTTTTTTCTCTTTAACTGTAATACAAGCAGGTGTTACTGATTTGAAAGTGGTAAAGTAGAAGATTTCTTAAAATTGACATGCTGAAGTACTTGACAGCATTTCCTTTATAAAACATGGTAAAACTCTCATGTAAAGTAAAATATTTTTGCTCCTGAATCAGATCTTACAAACCAAACTGATAAGGGTTTTTTTCTGGAGAAAATGGAGATGATTCCAGTTGTTTTCACCTTCTGCCGCAGGTTTATCGAGTATGGCGAGTATAAGAACAACTACTATGGTACAAGTTTAGACTCCGTCCGATCCGTTCTAGCTAAAAACAAAGTTTGTTTGTTGGATGTGCAGCCTCATGTAAGTAAGCACGTCTTTGGGACTCTTGTAGTTCCCCACATTGCATATTGGGATTCCTGGAAAAAAATCTTTCTAAAAAGGTATATTTTGTTCCACGCTGAATGACTGTAGGGTGGGCTTGCTGGGTACCTTTATCACAGCAAGACTCTCTGAAAGGAGGAGGGGAAGGAAACTTCAATACATATTGGCAAGTATTCAGCTCAGTCATTAAGTGAATTGAAAGCCTGCAGCATAATACCAAAGATTTAATTACAAAATGCTCCTACATTTCCATTCATCTTTCTGCTGGTTTGGGTTAGAGTTTCTCTCCGAAATGTCTGTTTCAGAACAGCTTTGAGCTACCACCCAGTCCAGCAACTCTCTCACGTATTTAACCGGACCGTTCATGGAAAGGGTTTCCGTGCAGGGTGGACACGTGTCAAGGAACGCACTAAATGTGATGTTGGCTGGATAATTGTTAAGAACATTCCTCTCTAAACCGTTTGTTCTTGCGTTGACCTTGTCTTTCAACCCTGC